CCACCCTCCTTCCCCCCTCTGCCCCGCACCCCAGCCGATGCCCACCTTCGCCGACCTGTTGAACGCTGCAGTGCAGGCGGGTGGCCGAGCATTCAGGGGACCGTAATATCCGACCAGCGTTGCGTCAGCCCAGAGTAGACGAAAAGCATTGTGGTCAGCACCCTGCTGGGGAGGGGAGGGCCCATATACATCGTGGTGACTCAGAAAACGTCGAGCCCTGTTCTTCCGGACTTCGGCGGCGAGATGCGTTTCGCACTGACGCCGTCCTTGTAATACGCAGTGGTCAGTCATGATCGCCGTGACGTCATTCCCCCTCCCTTTTATCTCCCTTATCCTTGGAGTTCGCCCGCAAGGCCCGCAAGTGCCGCCAATAGCACCCGGCTCTGGGGGGTGCGAACCCGCGACCAACAACGATATGCAACGGCTCGTCATGTCATAAGGCACGCATATGGAAGCACTTCGGGCGCGGGGCACACGCGGAAAGAGGGGGATTCAGCTGAGCACGCCACACATGGGTCGAGCCGAGGCGGATTTTTTTTTGTTAAGTTTTTTTTTTCGGTAAGGCTTGGTTATACCGAAGGGCCGTAGCCGTATTCGAGGCGGGAGGCTGCGCGTCCGGGCCGCGGGCCGCGGGGCCGGGGACCCAGTGGGAGGGCGTACGGAGACCAACGCGATGGAGTCGAGTCGTCAGTCCTCGGTTGCCTCTGAAAGGGAAAACATCGGCGAGAAGCAGTTCGGTGTGCCTGCGCCAGCTGCGCGCTCTGCCGCGTTCAGTCGTGCATCCTGGCCTGTAGGATGTGATGTGGGAAGTTAAACCTCTCAGTCTTTTCTTGTCCAATGAGCAGGCATGTGTTCATGAAGAGAACGAAGACATTTTGCCTCGGATGTTTCCGGGGATAATGTTGACAGGGTTGTTGCACTGTCCCTCCTTGGTTCCGAACAGGGAAGTCCCAACCAGGTACGAAAAGGTTTCGAAATCGGTCTTCACTGCGTATTTATGTTTCTTGATTAACAGCTAAAATCAATATTTTCTACTTAAAGACAAAATTTAAATTTGAACGATTTGAACTGCTGCCCAGCGGTCGATTTGGTCACCCTAAGTGACGCGCTACTCGCAACATCTTTTAGAACGCGCCCCTTGAGGTGACTCACAAACAAATCACAAACCGACCCGACCACCGCCATCACAGGAAGCGACAAACGCTTCACCTGAAGTGAATTCGTTTACTAATTATTATGTGATCGGTGTAGTTTACTGCCAAAATGCATGCGGTGAGAGTAAGGGAATAAATTAAAATAAATACTTCTGATCAATTCTACAAGTTCCGAGTGGTGTATTGTATTTGGCAAACTCAAGCCGGATTATGCGCACTTGAAATATGTACGGCATCGTTCATCCGGATTTTATTCATGAATGATATTTGTAGGTCGCTGCAAATAATAATTAGAGACTAGCAGCCAGTTACGCCCTTGCTTAATATTTGAGGTAGAGAAAGAGGAACTTGGGCATGATGCTGACCCTTGTTGGTTAGGGGAGCCTCTGTCGCCCCCGTGGACCCATGCCGCAGTGTTTGTTGACGAATTTCGAATATTTTCCCCTTCCCGTGTAGTACTGATCGTAGTAGAGATCACCGAAACATTTTAAATGTAAATTCGCTATATGTGGAATGCCATGGACTGTTCATTTACTCACAACTATTTAATTTGCATGCGTTGCGCACAGCACAGCGCACAAAAATAGCGTATCTTAAAATTTTAGACTTTGGAACCTTATTATTCTTTAACACCGTTCTTGATCTTTTTGGCCTATTGTGATATGCGTACTGAACTTGGCATCTAGATTGCAAAACCAGCAAAACATTGCACCATTATCTGGGATGGGTATTTTATCGGTATTTTTTCAGGGCTGTCATACAACTAATAAAGTTGGTGAATCCAGATGAAAGGCAAATAAGACAAAACATATTCACAAGTGAAGGTACGCTGCAAAACGGAATTCACTAGGAGTGGATCGCAGTCGCAGTACACTGTAAAAAGCTTACGGTGTATGTCACCGTAGGCTACGGTGAATATCACCGTAGGCTACAGTAAATTCACCGTAAGCTACAGTGAATATCACCGTAGGCTACGGTGAATATCACTGTAAGCTACGGTGCTGCAGGGGGTCACCGTAGCTTACAGTGAAATTCACCGTGAGCTTTTAACAGTGTACGTTACTGAGTTGTCTTTGGTAGTTTTTTGACGCGATAGGTGGTCGGCGGATAAATAGTTGACTCACGGTCCTGTGTTTTTCGGCAGGGCTCTATTTTGAGTCACCGTCTTACGCCGTGCTCGCCATGATGATAAGCGCTCGAGGATTTCCGCAGCACCCGCCGTGTTTCATCAGCGCCGCCTCCCCCGCCAGCCCGGGGCCGAGGGCGGCGGCGGAGGTGGAGGCGGGGGACCTCTGGGGGCGGGTGCTGCTCACCCCGCCGGACACCCCCACCTCCCCCTCCAGTACCACCGCCCCCTTCTCCCCGTTCGTCCATTCCAATGGTGAGTACAGCAGCGGTCCATGTGCCTCTCTGCGCCGCCCGCACTCGCCGGCCGCGCTCGCCGCGGCTGGGCTAGGTCCGCTCCTTTGGGTCCGCCACGCCCCGAATCGTCAGCAGCAACCCCGCGCACCAAGCGGCACGCCGGGGCAAGAATGGGGATGGTGGTATCCGTGACAACGCCACGGGCCGCGTCCCTGGCGGCTCGCGCAGCTCGCGCATGCCGCCGCCTCACCACGACCAGCATGCGGGCCAGCTCGGCCACGCGCAGGAGCGGGCGGGCCGCTGGGCGCGCCGCGGCCGGGGCAGGGGGCGTGGCCGGGGCCGCGGCCGAGGCCGTGGTGGTCGCGGCCGGGGCAGGAGGCTGACCGTGTCGCGGCAACGCGTGCTTCCAGACCCTTCCGACGACGGCAGCCCGAGCCCGAGCCCGCCCCGCGGCGCCAGGCTGCGGGCGACGCTGGAGCCGACGCGGGACTCGCCGCCGGAGCCGCCGAGTGAGCCTCACACGGCCGGCTGGAGACTGCGCAGCCGTCGGCACAGGTGGGCGAGACACGTCGGGGACGACAACGCGTGACAATTTGAAAGTTGATTCCCCTAGCCCTCTCCAAAGTTGACTAAGCCCTCGCCATACTTTTCTCTCGTGCTTTTACCCGTCGCCCGTCTTTCAGGCTGAGCACGCGCCCCGTCAAGCGCCCGTTCACGCCGGACATCAAGAAGCTGCTCAAGGGCTGGCTGGTGCGGCGGCGCGACAACCCGTACCCGAGCCGGGCCGAGAAGGAGGCGCTGGCCTCGCGCACCGGGCTCACCTACATGCAGGTACGCGAGCAGCACCCTCGCCAATGATGATCCCGATCAACGAGTACACGCTCCCGCTCCTTTTCCGATTCGTGTAGGTTTGCAACTGGTTCGCCAACTGGCGGAGAAAGCTCCGCGACTGCGCTCGGCCAGAGGACGGCGACGCCGCCGGCGAGGACGACGCCGACAGCGGCCCCAGCGGCGGCGAGGGGACGGGCTCGTGGGCGCACCTCATCCGCAGATACAACGCCCTGGCGGCCGCCCCCAACTCGTCCACCGCGCAGGAGCACTTCTCCATTTCCTCGAGCGACTCCATCTGGCAGGCGGACGGCGACGCGACGGACTCAGGTGAGCGTCTCGGCGAGCGCCGGGCGGGTGGGCAGCCCAACGCACACCGGGGCGCACTGCGGGGACTTGGCGCCTGCAGGCGCCGCTGTGGGTTCCTCCGGAGCATCACAGGAGGAGATCGTGGTGCTCAGGAAAAGTTGCGTGGACAATTGCTCAGTGTCGCTTGCGACCTGCTGGTGGAAAAATAGTGCAAAACAAACTGGGACAATTTTCAACTTGCACTTGTTAACCGACTGTTAAAAATCGTCAAAAGAAAATGTTACAATTGTTTTTTTCTGCATTGAATATGTGAGTAAGAAATGCAAAATTGCCCATTTAGTCAATAAGTACGTTATGTCCTCCAGACACGTGCCGCGGTTCTTCCGAGGCGCAGCAGAACGCCTACGTGAGCTCCACCACGACCGAGTGCACTGACACCGAGGTAGGTGGTGGGGCTGCAGTCAATGCGGCATCGTGTTATTTGTATACGTTGTTTGATGAAGTCACTGGAACCTGGCCGACAGACCCGATCTGACGTCACGAAGCCTCCGTCCCCGCTGTCGTCCGTGAGCGTCGCTCGCAAGCGGGGGCACTCTTCCGGCGACGCCGACGGCGAGAGCGCTGCGAGCTGGCCCGCGGTCCTCGGCGAGGCAAAGCGGGGCAGGAAGCAGGAGGGCGTGGAGGACCTGGAGGATCTCGAGTGCGCCTCCGGCTCGGCGTCCGGGTCGGCGTTACTGCTCAGCAAGTGGCTGGAGAGCGCGGCCCGGTACCAGCCCAACAGCGCGGCGGCCAGCGCGCCCGGCTGGGGCATCGCGAGTGAGTGTCAGCGTCAGCAAAAGCAGGGCGGAGATGAAGGCTTGCAACAACTAGTGCGCTCGCTCTCTCATTTTTTATGTGCTGTGGTAGTGGGGTCGAGAACATATTCCGAGCTACTTCAATAAGGAACCCAAACAGTATTGGCTTGACTGGTTCAAACTCGCACCTTCCCCCAAAATTAGAAAAATTATCTGTTTTGAAACGATCTCTACGGTCAGATTAGCATTCTTCTACAATTCTTTTAGTACGGAAGGTGAAATCAATTAGCAACACTTTTGACACACGATTACACGATCACGACGTTTCTGCTCTGACCTGTCACCGCGCCACCTGGCCCGTAGAGGTATAATGCGGACCGTAATTAAAACAATTTCACGGCCGCCTAACACTGCGGTGCTTGGCGCGCTGCAGGGCAATAGAAGACCCGCCCGTGGCACGAGCTGCCAACTGGCTAATCGGGAGTGACCTTTGCCAAATTTGGGCCCGTGATTTGGGCATAGGGCCTAGGCCTTGAGCTTCATATTTGCGTGCCCGAAAAGCGGGACCTCTCGTAAAGACTCCATTCCGGCTTCGTTTCGTTATGACGGTTCTTCGGGCACCCCCCCCCCCCCCTTTTCCTTCCACTCAGCTTCACTCGGCAAACGAACGACGGGGGGAGCTCGGCGCCTGCGAGGCTCGGGGTAGCCCCCCCCTCCTTTTACCACGGCTGAGTAAAATCCGTACAGCAGTTTGAATACCCCATTTGTAGTCTGTTGGTAGTGGCTCCGCGCTGGGCACGTTGTCGAGTTATGCTGTGCCGCCATGCAGGCGTGCAGCCGGGTTGCCTACACTGGAGTCGTAAGGGGCTTTCCATGCGCTGGAGCCGGTGTTACGCTTTGAAAGGCGCACGCCGCGCGGACCTGCCCGCGCAGTACAGTAAGCCCATCCCGCATAATCGCATGCGATGCAGTTTAATAACTAGGAAATATTCCGGCGTCTGAGGGCGTGGGACTGATTGGTCGAAGAGTTGATCGATGGGTTGGACCGCTGGGCGTACTAGATCTTGATAGAGGCCCCCTCTTTATCTTTCGTTCTGAGTTCTCTGGAGCATCTCTGAACAGTCCACCCAATACCGGTACAGCTCCAGCGGATGCCTGCCTACCTACTGGTCGACCTGACCTACCTCTACTCTGCTTACAGGCGTGGCAGTAGAGCACACCCTGGAGGGCCGCCATCGCGAGGAGTTGGACGCAGCAGAAGCTCTGGCATTCCTCTCGTCGCTCCACTTCCGGTAGCCGCCGTTTCAACTGCCAAGGGCCGATTTTAAGACAAGACATTCTTCGATTATTCGAAGAGAAAAGATTTTACCTGTTGACGCGTGTATCAGTGTAAACAATTTTGTATATATTTTGTGAGAGTAGGGAAAAGAAAAGTGTGTATTATAATTCGTTTTCAACTGTTTAAATGACACAATACGATGGGCGTATGCGTTTAAGAGTGTGGATGAGTCATTCTAGTCTCGGAAAAACATTTTTTAATAAAATGATTTGGAATTGTAAAAATTTATTGAAATAGTCATTCTGATGTCTTATTGAATCCACTTCGTAAAATAGCTTCTGTTACAAAATCGTATCTTAGTAAATTGATAAATTTGATTACCTATTCCAGTACTTGTCACATGAGTAAGAGTATTTTTTTAAAGAAAAAACTGGTAGAGGAATTAATAAACATACAAGAAGGGAGTGCGCAAATCTCACTGCACGATGTCCGTCGTTCACTTTTAGAACTCATTATTTAAAAAAAACAACAGGAAATCGCACAAAATCATAGAACATGTAAGAAAACAAAGTGGGTTGGCTTGGCAGTTCCTTCTGAACAATGAATAAAATAAATAAAACAAAGGAAAAACAACAACAATCAATGACGATGGCAAAAACAAAAACGGGTGGGGCAATGTATAATGCGGCAACACACAGCCAAGATGACGGAAATTACGAAGCACAACGATGTACAACTAGCCTATACACCGATCTTACGCAATATCACAACACCAAACGATTACAATTATATATTAATATACACCTCTCTGCCAAAAAAAACGTGACAAAATTGTTTGGGACAAAATAAGTACACATCATTTCCGTCGGGTTGGCTGAATATTGCATTGTATATGACAACACCAATGCGGGGTTTCTCCTAAGAGGTCCCTTCAAAATGAAGCCCAGATTTCCTGAAGTACATAAACTGGAAATCTAGGCTTGGACAGAGCATCCAAAGCAACACACCGGATTGCCTCGAAAGGCCAAGCTCTTTGTACTGCACCCGCTGTTACAATAAAAAGCATTTCCAAATATGAAAATGGATGAAAGTTGAGAAGCAAGGTGGGTTGATAAGCTTTCCATAGCCGAAGCTTCCATTATTCGTCTATAGATTAGACAAACTATATACTCACTCAACCCACCCTGGGAACACCACCCGGACGATTTACAGATCAGGCATACTCAAAAACCTAAGTAATGATGCAATTTGGCCGAATGCGAAACTAATTGCAGAACAAAGTTCCTCATCATGCACAAACACCCACAATGGAAAAGAAGCACTTATTAAAACGCGACATTCGCATTCTCGCCCAGACACTCCTCCCCACCCTTCTAGCTCTCCCTCCACTCGACCCCACCCCATCCCCACCCCCGCCACAGGGAGGGCTTACGAAAGTGGAATGGATTGGCCTGCCAGACATTAAAAACAAAACAAAAAATGCAGTACATTTTCTTCACAATAATTACAATTTAAATAACAACAATCATCAAATTACATAACATTCAAACAATAACAGATGGATGCAGGGATTGACACAAGGAGAGGCGTCAAGTTTAACATGGTGTTAAACATTTTTAAAAAAATGAAAGAAGATCTGCGGGTAGCAAAGGCTTACTTAGAATATTAAGAGAAACAGAGTTTTATAAAAAACGAAGTTTCATAAAAAACGAGCTTATGACAAAGTCACATTCGATGTAGCCTGGTACACGGAAATTTGAAAGCTGGACAGCTAAGACACTTCCTCACTCTCGAAGTACAAGTCCTCTTGTCACTACATATTGCTATTCTGCTGGGATTACAGTTCAACCTACATTCCTAAATTGGAATAGTTTTAATGTCTTATAAATTGGGAATGTGTACGTGGTAATGCACCGCGCCTGCACCCAGCAGCAGTAGTGCGAAAACTCGCATCAAGAGGACTGTGAGTCGAGATGGTAGATAGTTTTCAGGGATGTGCACTGGAGTTGACACATAATTCCATTTAATGGGAAATCGGCACCCTAGCCAGACTGGGCTAGTTCAGGGGACTTTGCAAGCACACAGTCAAACCAGAAGCATAAAGACTAGACACAGTCAAACAAGCTAGAAATTACAGATTTCCAGATGCCCAGACTTCCGGGGTTATTTCATCAACTACGCTGTCTACTCACGTCAGTCCACATTTAACAAACGGTCGGGGTGCTGGACATCGAGAAAAATGCAACTACCAAGATCTTTTTATAGTCGAATCTCAACCTGTGCGTTATAAAATCTGGTCATCGCTTTGCAAATTTGCCCACCTCATTCGTCATTGGGAATTACTTCAAAGTTTTATCGCACAACGTGTCATACAAAGTAGGTACTAAAATAAATAGAAGTGTATCTAGGAAGGCACATCTGTGTTACTCAGCTAGAAACAAGATTTCTATCTAACAAAAGAACGGGTGTTACCGATGATATGCTTCATTTAGAAAATAGTCATGACAGATACACTGTATACAGTAGGCTACAAGTCGACCATTGGCCACCGCAATATATTAACTCTCAGTATTTATTACGAATATTATTTACATTAAGTCACTCATTACTCGATCCTCCGTTCGGCAAAAGGAAAAATAAATAAACAGAATGCCCGCCGTGGCGAGGCATTTCTCTCCCCTACAAGAGGAGAACATTAACAAATGTCTACGAAATTGAATAGGCCGCGGAAACCCTTGGAAGGGCGCACGTTTTCCAACACACTTCCGGGCTGCAATAGTTTTCGTCGACGTGAACAGAAAAATTTAACCCTGAGAAGGGTCAGTGAGAGAACGCGTAACAACCAAAACCAGGCCCCAGGCTATGTCAGCAGCTTGAAGAACATGATGGCCAAGGAGATGTTGACAAAGAGGACCAGCATGACCAGCTGCTGACGAGAGAACCAGTCCTGCAACAGAGAGTACGCCGTGGTCAGAGAGGGAGTAGGGTGCTGCTGCAGGTTCGCGGCGCATGCATCCCCACAGGAGGGGGAGAGTAGAGAGGGGCGTGCGAGACGAAAGGCGGCGTGAGAAAGCGGCCTACCTTGACGTGCGGGCTGACGAGGTACAGGAGCGGGTTGGCCCTGAGGCGCTCGTTCTCCTCCTGGAGCCTCCGCATCTCCTCGCGGCGGGCCGAGCTCAGCACGGACACCTCCTCCCGGGACATGGCCTCGTTGGCGGCGGCGACGTCCGGCAGGCTCTTCTTGCGCTGCAGCGGCGACGTGACCGGCACGCTCTACGCACACACACGCACGCACGCACGCACGCGCAGTCAGGGTATGAGCAGCGGTGCCAACATAAAAAACAAAATGACATGTGCGCGGTCTGGGGGAAAAAAAGCTTTTGGTGGTGCGCCTGCAGCACAGGCTGGTCTCATGCGCCCTGAACACGAATAAAGTGAGCTCCTGTGCTCCTCCACGGGGAAATAATATTTGATTTCAAATGAAAAAAAGCAAAAAACAGGAGTTAAAAAACCAGACGGTGCACCGCAATGAGATGTACAGGCGAAAAATAAGGGGGAAAAATGTACCGAAACAATACCCAGACCCATTCGTCTTCTAAATTCTGCAGACCGAAATAATCACCTGTCACCTGTCTCGACAATTAATTTCCCACAGAGACCCGTGCAGGTAAATAAATATATGACGGCATAAAATACATAAAACCGTACTATTTTTTAGAAAATAATAAAAAACGAAGACAAAAGTGCGGTGAACGGACCCTGACTGCCACAGTCACACACATGTGCATTCATGCACTCACCCAGCCCTGTGGCCGCCTGTGGAGAGGCGGAGCGTGGTGGGGTGGACCTACTTGGGGGCACACAGTGCCTTGCAGACATGGTGAGTCCAGCTGAGGCCGAGGCTGAGGCCTGCCGTTGACTGTGGATCGTGGCAGTTCTAATCACGCGACGCGGGGATTTTGCATGTTTGCATTGACCCCCCCCCCCCCGGTCGAACGCATCTATACAATTTGGCGAATGAGGAATGGCAGGGGGCGCGTTTCAAGAGGATGGCGACCTCTCGGGTATCCGCGAATCTTTTTTCAGAAGGCCAGCGGCGGGGAGGCCGACGGGGAGAGGGTCGCTTTAGCGCGCCGCGCGGCGTGGCGCGACGTGGCTCGACTCGGGTCCTTGGTAAACAGCCGCCAACGTGGTGTCCGAATAACTGCACCTGCCCTGCCCTACGCTCGGCCTGAACAGGCCAACCTGGTCCCCAAGTCCATCCCCATGAGGCCCCACGCGCACTGCTGCTTCAGAGGCAGTCGCTGGGAAGGAAGGAAGGTCAGTGTCCAGCACGTCAGCGTGACAGGTCGCGGAGCGGCGCCCGCGGCCGCCGCGGCCAGCCGTACCTCCACGGGCGCGGTTGTGATCCAGGACTCGGAGGCTCGGCGCGCCATGAGCGCCGGGCTGAACTGCAGGTCCTCCTCCTCGTCATCCTCGACGTACCACATGGACTGCACGGGCTCCATGGCGGCGGGCGGCCGGGGCCCGTCGACGACGCGCGCGAGAGACCCCGCGAGGGTACCGGGCGGCGGCGCGCGCTTCGAGACCAGACTGGCCGGGCTCGGCTTGCGCGGGTTTTGGCGGGCGTGGCGGGGACGCGGTCGCGGCGGACAGCGGCGCCGAGCTGGGGGGTAGAGGGCAGGGGCGGGGGAGCGGGGTAGGGTGGGAGCGGGCGGCGCCGAGAGCGGGTGTTCGCGAGGTACCGCCGGTCGCCTCCTGGCGGCAGGTTCAACTGCTGTGCAGCGCGCCGGACCCCCACGCGGCCCCGCGCCGCGCTTCGCCACGCCCCGCCGCGCCCCGCCAAATCCAGAGGACCTCGCGACGACCTGCTACGACGCTTTTAGCCGCAAGCTGCCCTAGACGATCCCCGACAACGGCCAACCTGCCTGGCGGCTGGGGGAGGGGGGCG